GTAGGCCATACACGAATGTAGGCTATTTAACAATCGCAGATATTTTTAAAAACTATGGAAAATTTAGATAACAAAATGTTTAAATGCAGGACAAAGAAGATACAGAAGCAATATTTTATTTAGTTTAGTATGGTACCAGTTACTAAACTTAAACTGAAATATCTATGACTAGGAATTAGACAATTCTTAGAAATATTTGAACTTAAAACCAAATCGAATCGCGAAAATAACTGTACAATCATTATGAAATAAAGTTTAGCTATTTATTCCATGTTAGTACCTTTTAATATGGGTTTTGAGTCGATCTAACAACCTGTAAATCTCGTTAAGGTAATTAAACAATTAGTTCACTATTTGGCTCATGGACCAACTTCAGCCTCGCATTCTAATAATTAATTTGGGTTATAGGCATAGTTGGGAAAGTTAGTCAAAAGTTCTAACTAGTTAGAAGTTATTAGTTAGTACCGTAAAAAGTAACTGATAGAAGTGATTAGTTAAAAACTAACGAATAAAATAGAAGTTAGAATTTCTATTCGTTATTCCCAAGTACTCACGTAGCCTATATATAACTTATATAGGATACGTGAGTTTGCATATTATTTTTAATTGTTTTATAAAATAGTTTTCGCGTATTGTTGTTTATTTATTTATTTAGAGTCTAGAAGTGTATAAACCAAAGTCTCGATACAGAGTATATTATTTAACTAAATAGTTTTTGTACCTAGGGCCGAAAATGAGGTTTTGTCTGCTTAAACAAACGAAAGCTGAAACCCCGTTTCGGCCTGTGATACGAACTCAATTTTTCACTAATATACAATATTGATGTTCGGTAATTAGACAAGTAATGCAATGACTTACGTCTGAAGGTGAAGCGATCTCTTTTTCTCACCACTCCCCAAACCTATGAAATTCGACATATCTTTACTTATATTTTGATGGTCTTCAGGTACTGCTTCTGCTTTTCTTTTCAATGAATTCTGTATTTTTCCATTTGATACAATGTACACTAACAGTCAACACAGCTACAACTATAACGTTATGTGAAGAACTAGAGTAATCAGCAAAATTAATAAATAGTTGACAACAAAACATTTCTATAGCAATGCATATGTATACTGTTTGTGTAAATAAGTGAACAGCTGGTTTTACCTATTTTGATTCATTATTATTGCAAATTCGTTTTTAATCCAACAGGGGATATATGTATAAATACGTTTCCACCACACTATGATGTTTTTAGCTGTGTTACATACGTTAATTGGAGACTGAAAGTTACGTTTTGCTGTCCAGGGCCGAAATATCAGCTGTCATCGTCATTTGAGGGCCGAGCAGGGTTTTCCTGCAGGTTTCTTCAAGCCGTATAGGGCCCCTAGCTCGACCCCCAAATGATTAATGATGGTTGATGATTGAAGATGATCATTGGGGGGGGGGGGGGCTTTTCAAACGAGGCCGCCACTTTTTAAATTTGAGTAGTAACCGCAGTTTAGGTTAGGTATGGCTAATTTATAGCTTTACTCACACGTTTATTTCATTTACTGAGCAGAAATAATCACATAAACTCAAAAATCACCTAACCTAAACTGAGGGGTTTCCAAAGTTTAAATAGTAGTGACCCTTTTCTGGAAAAGACCCAATTCATTAACAAAAATTACTAAATTCAAAAGACTGCAAAATCAAATGTGACGAAACAAGAATAATAGTTCCAAATAAATAATAGTTTCATGCAACCGTGACACAAGGCTTGGTTGGAGCGTTGAATCTGCTGCTAAAATATCGAACACTCAAGCCGCTGCCAAAGAATTCGCCATCGAAATTCAGCCTCCGTTTGGCGCCCGGCCCGACTAGGCATTGCTGCGCTTAATGCTGTGCAATTAATTTGTTCTGTAGTACTATGTACTATTTGTACTATATTATACTGTGTGTAATGAAACCGATTATATTCACAATATTTAGTCAGTTTGAGGAAAAGTTTCCCCACTTTTTGTGTACTTAATGTATGTTGCTTAATCAGCTGTTGAGTTATTATTTTAAACATAAGGGTCAAGTGGAGGGAATATATTTCTTTCCCTAAAACCAAAATATTGTGAACGAAGTATATAATATTACGTGTTAGCGCTGTTATACGAATAGTGTGTTACGTTGTATAACACTTAGACAAGTTTAAACTGTAAACATTTGCAGGACTTAATTATACAAAATGTTAAATTGATCGATTTTGACCAAAAACTCTTATCATCATCAGACCCAAATGGATATTCTTTAAAGGCTATATATGTGTAACCGTCCTCTATAAATATATCAAATGGCGTTTTACTATGTGTGTAAACCCAATTAAAGAAAAAAACTTTCCTTTTTTATTGTTCAGCCTCACCAAACTCGAACACGAAATCGAAAATATTAAAATTGTATTCTGTGTACAGAAGGGAAATGCAATTTGCCTATTGCGTTGATGAATTAAGTGTTCAATCTAAATCGATCACCACTTACCATCTTTTATATATAGGAATAAGTCTTGTTAAAACAGTATGAGTGTAAATATATAACACTTTCAAGTGTTAGACTTATTTTTATTTACTTTCCGAGACACAAAAAGGGTCTGAACGAACTTAATTTTATCATCTGAAACGTAAAAACTATCTTTTCTTACTCCAGTGATGAAATATACTATCATCTATATTATTAAAAGAATATGGGTTTTTGTATTCAGCAAATCAACTCCTAAATATTAATTTTATAGGCATATTTTGTATCAATTTAACGCTATTATCCTCTAGATGAGCCTTTTGCGGGTTTGGATTATATCCCGTGAAAGGTCTTCGGCCTATAGGCTTTTAAAATTTTAGAGTTTGTGCTGAATTCTGTAGTCAATCATCTGAACTTTTACAAGTTTACATTTGTTTACATCAATACAACGTGTACGATACAATTATACGAAAATTGTGTCATCGTTGCAGTTGGTGTTGTTTTAGTGAATTCAAGTAACATATTGTAATGGTATTAGTATAAAATGTAAAGAAGAAAATGACCAATGCTATATTTTGTGTTTTGATAGGATTTCCAATAGAAAATTTTAAATTAATTCAACTATAATAGATCTTGAAGTCACAAAGTGACGCTGGCTGCTAGTTATTTTTGTTTGTTTTCACCACTGTTTGGTAAAGTACAGAGAAGTAGTAAAAGCTTTCAAAGCAAATACGAAGTACGTTTTCTAGTATTTCAGGTCGTGAAAATGTATGTTTGGTAATGTACAGTATGGTAAATAGTTCAGTCTCGCTATTTACTGTACAATCATTTCAGAAATCTACGTGACGTCATCAAATCCTTTTATGTGTTTATGATCACATAACACTTTAGGTTTACTACGCTCACCTACATTTACACATTACTTTAACGTAGACGTTGTATGTTGAGTTTAAGAATTTATATAAACGACAGGTAGCTTCATTTGTACTCAAAGGAAAACTAACCTAAAAATATGTACTTTGAAACGTCACTACTTTTTATCAGTACAGTTCACCCTTGTACTGTACCGGCTCACCCCTTGCTTTGCTGGAAACATTCCACGCCTAGGCTTCTGTATCCCATGTGGACGGGCATGCAAGGTAAAAGAGGAGACTCCAAACTCTTTTAAAAGAAAAATACATGCATACATCACCAATGATTAAATAATTCCTCCCATCTATGTTCATATCGTTCTATAATCGTAAGCGTGAAATAATTAAATAAACAGTTGGGCCTTTTATAGTAAAAGATTATGTGATTTCAGAAATAGTTTCTAATCTGTTCTATGATTCTATAACACATGAGATATACTAACACAATATGTATGTTAGTAATACACTTGCTTAATTAAGTGACTACAGTAATGTAATCGTAATCGTAGTGTTTAAGTAGATTTTAACCGCCTGCTTTAAAAAATAGCTTGTCATCTGTATCCATACTGTAATTATAAAATAATGTTTTCATGAGTCTAGAATTAAAAAAACAAAGTTGGAACAAAAAGAACTTCTTTTATCAATGATGACCGAATTTTACATTACAAGTAATCAATGGTATGATAAGTACTCTTATAATTTTAAATACACTATTTATTTATATTAATGACCCGTGAGACAGTATGAAGTAAAAGGGTTTGGAAAATATAATAAAAAAATACAGCAAAGTGCAGATTTTTTGTTTTTTCTATTTCTAATCTATAATTGATGCAGTTGATTTTCACACCTTCCCCAACTAACATATTTTACTGTTTTTTTGTCGTTTTGTTTACTTAAACTTAGAGAAATCGTGTTTAGGCCTATAGGAAATATAATTTGAGGCAGATTTTGTGACATTAAACCAAAATATTCGTACAATAAATAATACCATCCTACTAATTCCTTTGTTATCCCTAAAGCGACCAAAACTGTTCTCATTGCCTTTCTGGCAATAAATCATTGAAAGCATAATAATTATTTAAATGCCTTATAGCATCTTGGACACTAAACCTAAAATTACCACTGACAGTATAATGGAAGAGGTTAAGACATACAACAAAACAATTTTACACAATTTAAAAGAAGAAGTTTGTTTACCTTTTTATCAAGAAAAAACACCCGACCAAATAAGCTTAAACATTCAACTGGCATAACCTCTATACGGAGGGGAAACATTGGCATTAATGTATATTTTCTTTATACTGTAATTCAATAACTCAGGACATTGATCTGGCACTAAAACGTTCTGAGGTAGAGAGTTTGGGCATACATACTTAATTGTGTTTGTGGTAATTTAAAACCAATAATTTTACATAATTTTCAAGTCTCTTTCATCTTCTTCTTATTTGTCGTTTCATTGGGACATTTTCTTCATGCAGCTGATTTGAAGAGAAGATGTAAAAAATGACTTCCATGATATCAAGTCTATACTTTTTTATTAGGACTGGAGAAATAAATGAACATTACTGCTGCATTTTTAGATGTTAACGAATAATGAGGTAACAAAAACAACACACATAATACTACAGGTAACATTTTATTCATGACATCTAGAAGCGTTTCAATAATGAACTGGAAAGTTCTCAGTCTTTTACGAGTCACTTATTAATTTAAGATGGTATTCTAGCCTTTGGATTATTGAATATTGCGTAAATATGCTCATTTATAGTAACTATCAGGTTGTGGTTAGCAACCGAGTTTCGGCACAAAAGGTGACATGATTATGATATAAAAGAGCACGAATACTAGAAAAGACCCGGTATGGATCAAAAACATAAACAAATGACGTTTGGCCTGAAATCAAACAAAACCAGATGTTAATTAATGCAATTTCTGTAGGGGTTTTGTTTACTTTCGGGCCAAAAAAGTCAATTGTTTATGTTTATGATCCATACAGGTATTGTATTTTTCTAGTATTCTAGTAGTAGTATGGAGACTACATTTTTTTACAATAATCGAGAAATGTGTACTTACAATATTGAGATAACCAAAAAGAGTATTTACACATTTTCAATAGAAATTTACAAAAATAGTAAACTTACGACACAAATTCTAATTGTTTGTAATCAAAAATAGGCACATTTTGTGGTATAATAAAAAAGCTTCGTTTCATTGAACAAATCACAGTAGTTTAAACCTATGTATGTATATTTAGATTGTAAATTGATTGTTATAAAAAACTCTTTTTAAATATACAATTAAGAAACAGTGTTTTTATGTCAATATTTAAACTTGGATTATTATTAACACTTTTTGAACTGTAAACCAAACAGTATGTAATGCAATTGAAATTGGATTATAGTTGCAGTTTTACGCGCATAAACGTAGTGAAAAGTTAATTTTTCTCAAGAACAATATCTACAATTTTGAGGTTTTACAACATGTAATAATATTATTATAACTCGAATATTATAAGAACCGTTGAAAATATTTCCTTCTATTAAAACTGTTTAAATATATTTTCTAATATTTACAATTGAAACATACGATTATTTCTAAATCCATAATATAATAAAATATTTTATTACAATGATATGTTGGCAACATTACATCAACAAATAAACCAATTAAAAAATAACATAGAACACAATTACACTTTTCTGAGATATTACTAAACTAAAACTATATTTCTCTTTCTGTTTCTACATTTTTGAAGATCAACTGAGCTACTTATTAAATACACGAGATAGCAAATTTTTCTCTTAAAATCATAATACAATTGAATACACTTTTATTATTTTGTTTTCATTTTGAAACTAGTGATTCAAAAACAAAGGTCTTATAGATTAGATTTGCAAATTAGAATAGCTTCGTTTATATATTTATTGTAATTTAATCGATTGATACTATTGTATTTTTGAAGGAAACTATGCTACTAAACTAACATATATTGCTATTCAATAATGACATTTATATTGCATGGTTACTAAGGACTTAAAACAAAATTCCTTCCCTGGACACAAACACAATTTACATAATCATAACTGGGTGGTTCTTGGATATACTTGGACACATATATATGGACTTACATTAAATTAACTTACAAACGTATTTTATTTACAAACAATGACTTATTTCTAAGTCACAACAGTATTGTCCTAAGTTATCAGGTAATTTCCTATACATATCTTAAACATTAATACAATAACCCTCACATATAAAATATCCTCTTTTTACTCTACAAAAAAGGCTGGATAAAGATAAGGGATATCTTAAATTAACTTTACAATAGTTTAGCACTTAGAAACTAGTTTAGATATAAAATGAGAACCATTTATCGAGTTGTTCGAGTACATGGTTATCCTTTGCTATAGAGCATCAATTTTAAAAATCTAAAATAATAAAAAAAATCAATGACAATAATTAACTAAAACATTGTATCAACATTAACACAAATACTACATATGTGCTGTACATTAACCCTTATGGGAAAACAAGAGAATCAAAACAACGTCCTTGCTTGAATACCAAGCTTTGTTGAGGTCACCAGATATTTTGGAAATACAGACGAAAATCAATCAACAATATGATGGTGAACTTGCCACTGGAACTTGTCCGAATTTCCTTTACAAAACTACCAGCGACCAACTGTATGAAAGCAAGACGTCTTTATGATTCTCCGAGTTTCCCATAGGCCTGTGTACTGATCGAAATACACAGGGTGTCCCGGAACTCTCCACCAATATTTTAGGGCATTGTTCCTGGGTAAGAAACGTTTCTAAATATCATATTTAAATTGTCCGTAAGCCCTTAGTTACTCACACATAGCCACCATTGAGTTTTTTCACTTATTGTTTTTTTAGAGGAAAGTGGTTAAACATACAAAATTGGAACTTTGCACAAACGTGTATCAACTAGACAAAGCTGCAAAAAAATATGACAGTTTTCCAAATTCATAAAACAAAATGGCGGCCATTTAAAATTTTGTATCCTAATAACACAAAAACCGTTGATTTTACAAAAATCTTAAAGGAATAACCTTTTTCAAGGCAATTTAATTACAAATCGGTTGCAACCTTATTTTTTTAAGATTGAACGAATGTTAACTGAGATATGGCAGCTTTAAGCTTTATGATACGTGTCCGCTCGAGGTAGTTGCAGTGTATGCCGAGGCATGCTGTCTTGTACTATTAAAGCTCCAAATTTGAACTTTTTTTAGTTATTTAAGAACAAAAATTTTAAATGGCCATAATTTGTTTTTATGAATTTGGAAAACTTTAATAATTTTGTAAAAGCTTTGTCTAGTTGTTACATATTTGTGCAAAGTTCCAATTTCCTATGTTTAACCACAAACAAAGTGAAAAAACAAAATGGCGGCTGTATGAGTAACTAAGGACCTCCAGACAATTTAAATATGATATTTAGATACGTTCCTTACCTAGGAAATATTCCCTAAAATATTGGTAGAGAGTTCCATGACACCCTAACAGCCAAAAAAATTTGTCTTTATCATACTAAAAGCTTACAGTAAAAGTGCATAGATGGTATAGATATCGGATACTTTAAAGACTGTATCATATACCCATATAACAGCACCAGAACGTGCAACATATTTACAGTCGGGTTCAATCTAACACGAAGCTCGCTTTCAGTGTTTGTGAAGGTAAACAAGAAGAAACAGTGTCTTTTACAGATGTTCCTGACACGACGACCAGTCTTGTAATAGTAACGCCCCTTTACAATCCTTGGATTGCCTGTACCGTGCAAGACGGTGGCGCAGGCGCAGACAATATTAATCAGTCTTGGCAATGACACAATGATTGTCTGCCAGCAGACAATCTGAAGTCATCGCCCAAGACTGAGGAAGTTTAATATTTGGAAATCACCATATTTCTCAGGCACTCGCAGATCTACTGTCCGTCCCCACGGTTCCTGTAGAAGATCCTGCTTCCTTGGATCTCCCGTAGTTCCTCGTCCTGCTAGAGGTCGCGGTACTCGTTCCTTCCTCCTCTTCTTCATCTTCGTCTATCACGCTGCTCTGGATCCATTGACGGATTCTGTCCTTCTTCGCCTTCCTGTCCACCGTAGTCTCTATCCCGTAGGCCACCAGGGTTGACAGCAGTTTGTTCTTCTCCTCCGCGCTGCTGTGGAAGCTGTACATGGAGGGGCAGAGGCCGTCATCTTCGTAGCCCATCTCTGTAAAATTATAGATACATTATAGGCTACATGAAAACTATGACAGCCTTTTGGAAATAATCAAAAAGAAATAAGGAAGGACTCGTTTTTGAGGATGTGCTTTACGGCTGTGCAAGTGTGGACAGTAAAAGCATAGAAGTAGATAATGCTAAATAATGCTATAATAACGGGTCCATCAAAGGTCGGGGTAATGATTTGAGCAAAATCCCCCACCGTCAATGTTCATTTCTTGGTTAATGGTACAAAGATAGTTTTGAACTTATAGTAAACAAAATCTTGGAAACGTATAGCTGAAGCTTTCTGAGGTCGACACTCAGGAATGTTCAGTTCAACGCCATTGCACAACTAAGAAGTGAAATAGACATGGTAAAACCATCTTGGAATCGTTAAGTTTTGTAGTGATTTCTGATACCAACCAGCTTGTCGGTCCAGCGAAGACTTGGCCAGCCACCGATCCTCCAGATACCTCGGCAGATCCGTGAGACGCTGCGGTCGCTTGTCTGCGCGCGGCTCCAGGAACTTGCGCAAGAACCTCTGGGCTCGCGCAGACACCAGCTTGAACAGCTTGGGCTTGCGGACCGGCATCATCACCTGAGCAATCAGGTATTGTGGGTCAATCAAAGGTTGTTTTGGTCATTAGGCCAACGTACGCATGTCTATCTTTCATTGGATTTTTTTATTACTTACGAATATGAAACGTTTGCTATTTATTATCGTTTTGGTTCGTTATGTTTACTATTATGAAATGTAGTTTTTATAAATAAACATATTTTTTACGTCTTTGGAGTAAGGACTCACAAAAGATTATATATTTATATATAACAAATATCTATGAGTTAAATGACATTTTTATTTATTTTTGCTTCCCCACTGTATTCTAGCGTCACCGAAACAAATTACTAATTCTTTAGGATAGGGACTTCTACTTTCACATAAATTGTTTCCAACAACAACAAAATTATGTATGTAATTATGTATGTTATTATTATGTATGAGGTAGATAAGTATTCTACGTCAGTAGGACACATTCCCTTCACAACTGAGTGTATTTACACTCAATCCCAACGCCCTTGAGTTACTCATTAACGAGTATGAAACTTTAAATTGAGGTAATGATAGCGATCATCATAGTCGTCACCCAAAGACCATTCTATGAAATTGCCAATCCACTGATTCTATATACTACACAAACACGTATTAATGATCTGATTAAGAATAATTTAACTCTAAAGTATAACATGTTACCTGGTTGCTGCCGTGCCATTGGAGGTACCTTGTATACCTAGGGTCATCAAACATCGCCTTCTGCCAGGGAAGACACCCAGTGAGGCAGACGAACACAACGATGGCGAACTGCCACACATCGTGCGACGTCTCCGCTCTGTACACAGAGAGCAAAAGTCATAAGTGGTTACGGTAGCAACTGCGCCAGTTAAAACAACTGCGCCGGTTAGGACAACTGCGCCGGTAACGACAACTGCTCCAGTGACGACAACTGCGCCAGTTACGACAACTGCGCCAGTAACAACAACTGCGCCAGTTACGACAACTGTGCCAGTAACGACAACTGTGCCAGTAACGACAACTGCGCCAGTTACGACAACTGCACCAGTTACGACAACTGCGCCAGTTACGACAACTGCACCAGTTACGACAACTGCGCCAGTAACAACAACTGCGCCAGTTACGACAACTGTGCCAGTAACGACAACTGTGCCAGTAACGACAACTGCGCCAGTTACGACAACTGCACCAGTTACGACAACTGCGCCAGTTACGACAACTGCACCAGTTACGACAACTGCGCCAGTTACGAAAACTGCACCAGTTACGACAACTGCGCCAGTTACGACAACTGCGCCAGTAACAACAACTGCGCCAGTTACGACAACTGTGCCAGTAACGACAACTGTGCCAGTAACGACAACTGCGCCAGTAACGACAACTGCGCCAGTTACGACAACTGCGCCAGTTACGACAACTGCACCAGTTACGACAACTGCGCCAGTTACGACAACTGCACCAGTTACGACAACTGCACCAGTTACGACAACTGCGCCAGTTACGACAACTGTGCCAGTTACTTGTGGCATTTGTCACCATAGAGGAGTTTTCATAGAGGAGGCAAGTCGTAAAGGGGCATTGGTATAAGTTGAGTAGTCGCCATAAGAGAAGCAAATTATAAATGAGGGACTTGTAATCATTTATCATACTACTTGTTGGGTTTTTTGTCTGTAATTTATTTACGATGCAAATTTATCGGTGTGTACAACACAAAGGTCTCTAATTGATGCCATCATATCAGTGGTATAAAATACATATACCTATGTTCTAAACCCCATAATGCAATTAATGTGTGTTTTGACTTTATTGTCCTTATATAACAGTCTACAACATTATTTGGACGTGAGAATGTAATCAGTTATAAAATAAATGTAGACGCCAGCGAAACCTTTTGGATGCAATTCATTCTGAAGAGGCGTGTTAATTTCCACCTTTTTCACGTTGGTATACATTTTCAGAACGTTCCAGGAAACGTTGGAATCGTAGTTGTAAATTTATGTCAAAGACATTCGTAATGTAATTGTCCCTACAATCATACTTGGCGAGTTCAAAACGATTTATCAAGTCTGAAAAAACTTCACTTTCTTCTCTTCACAATCGTAGAACATAATTTTTGACACCGTGCCAGAGACAAGCTGTATGCCAAATCCCATCTGAACTCGGAACAGTTTACGATCAACCTTTCAAACCACATGATTTTCATACTCAATTATTGAATACAATTAATTATTATCTCAGTAATTATAGTTAAAAGTAGAGCATTATTAGTTGTTTCAATCTACTAACTTAGTTTAGCTGCATTTAACCAGGTTACTTTACAATTTAACCTTGATTTTACACTAGTCTCATAATTTCTTTTGTTGGGTTTGAAAATCCAAAAGACACAGCTTGGAAACTCCCCCAACTCGCACAACTACTCACTAAACCCCCACAAACTAATGGAACCCTTTTGGGTTAATTTATGCTAGGCCACATTCATCCCACTCGACTTCATTCCAGGAACCAGTAAATATCCTAGATAACATCTTGGTTTATACGAAGATGTTTGTGGAAGTTACAATTTTTCTTCAGATTTTTCTAAGGCAACAATGCCTCAAACGTTTCCCTCTACGTTTTTCGGAGGCACACTTGATTTTTATAGGACGGAAATTTGTATGCAGTAATACTTATACTACTTATGTATGTTCAAGGTGGTTCAACCTCTCCTCTCACACGAAGGTTCTTCCTGCCTTAGATAATTAATTATGGTTTTAGCAATCCCCTTTTATACCAACTGGCGTAAATTTGCAGAGACTTTTCTATTACTCCACAGCCACATTAGTGACATTATTCAGCTACATTTTTCTACCACTACCTACTCACTTGTATGTTTCATCTGTATTTGTAAGCAGAACTTCTGGTGGTGAGTATGGAAGCCATTCGTTCCTCCTTCTTACCAGCGTCCCTGAAAATATACAACTATTTTACTCCCGGAAGAAAACAATCGTTTGGAGTTTGGAGTATAGAAATCCTACATTACTCAAGTTTTATACGTTTCTGTCCACTAATTGTTTATTGTTTGTATTTGTTTTCACAATCACCTGCTCTCCTGGTTTCACCGAAGTCGCACAACTTGACTCTAGCAAAGTCTGACCTGAAGACCAACACGTTGTCCAGTTTAACATCTCTGTGTACCAGATCTCTGGCGTGGATGTGCTCCAACGCGGCCGCCAGCTGAAAGAATACATCAAAATTAACTAACTTAGTAATACAGTACTTTCATCAACATTCAATAGGCTATTGCGTGATTTTTCTTAATTCAAGAATAGAATGGAATTAAAAATTTACACAAACGATTTTCTGGTGAAATTCTAGATATTTATTCAACAATTCGGTTTGTAGACATGGTTATGGTTCCAGTTGGTATCCACCTTTAAGTCTTCTTGCATGATTGTATTCATTCAGCGTGTCTACTGGAATAAATTTATCATAGCTCTATGATGTGGAATCGACAAATTTATTTTTCCATCATAGTTTCAAGAACTAAATTAACGAGAATACCTTTGTTGTTGTCGCCTGTGGTCCTTGAGTAGGTAAGATGTTTGTGTCGCCCTATACATTTCGCCAACTTGCATAGGAAGATGCCACACAAGCTGACGAAGTGCTTCGGGTGACACAGTCATCTTACCAACTCAAGAACAACAACAAATGTGTTCCCTACGTCGATTAAGGCAACAAAGTAAGATATTTCTCAAATCAAATGCTTGAACCTCTCTGGTTCTCAAAGGGAAGGTAATTTCCATACTCAGTTTGACATCAGTAGGCTATTTCTCGAACACATCGATCGGACGTTGAAGTACTAAAAATAACACAGGCCAGGAAAGTAGTAACCGTTGATTATTGAGACTGTTACCAATGCTACGCTACCAATGCTACAGTCATATCCTACCTGTCTGGCCACACGTTTGCTATGCAGCTCTCCTATTCCCGTCTCGGACACGTTGCTCGTCAGATCCCCCAATGCTGCATATTCTTGACTGAACACGTAGAACCCTGCAGTCTCAAACGCCACGTCATGAGTTGTGACTATGTTCTTGTGAGCGGACAGATGAAGACCGTAATGGAATTCTCTGTAGAAATCCTGCGAAATAGTGTTAGTTTTCAGTGTAAAAGTTCAATGATCAATCATTAAGGGAGCACTAAGATTACTGGACGTCCTAATTTTTTTTATATAGGATGTTATGTTATCCCTTAGTTAATCTTTTGGGGTGTGAGAAGTGAGAAAATACTCCTTTAAAAGTTCGTTTCGATGGTTGATATATTTGAATTTAAACTATTCAATAACATGATTGTTATTGTATGATTGTAATAAGGATGGATTGTTAAAGCGTAAACTTAAAACATTTGTTCCAATCTAGGAAGAGAAGCATTTTATGTTGTGATTGAAAATAAAGCTATTGTATCTCTCTTTTCTTTGCCTTGAATATATGTTCATAACGATTAACAAATAGCATTCTGTGCACGAATCCCCATTTATTAAAGTATTCCACTAAACTTGTTATCTTTTTACTCACTTTTATAGAAACATAAGGTTTCGGCAACGCCTTCAAAACCATCTCCGTGTCTGTAACTTTGTGTTCTACCAACAGAATCTTGCCAAACCATCCTTCTCCAACAATCTGTAGAATGTCGAACTCTTCTGCTAGGTTTACCTGAAAAATACAAATACTTTAACATATTGTTTTCCCACTCAAATTACATGTTTTGTATTTTAAAACTTGATGTTGCATCGGAATATGCTCTCAAAATGTTTTGGAGTATGGAAACATTCATCCAAGTCGATTCAGATCAAGAGTTTAGTAACTAGGGTGAGTATAGTGATATTTAGGTGATTCAGAACCTTAGAAAAGTCAGCAGCTTTTCAATTGTTTGATATTGTAAAAGTCTGGGTAGCTGAGTGGTCGCAGTGCTCGCCTAACAATCAAAAGGTTGCAGTAACTTTTTGATGGTTTGAAACTGGACTCAGCTGTTCCTGATCATTGGGCTTTAAATAAATGGTCCTGGCTAATGAAACAGCTGATCTTAGTCAGTAACAATGCTAAACAGATCACCTCACTTCGTTCTATCACTCATCCTTCACTCATTTGGATTAAAATACGCAAGGTGGTGTCCCCATCTCAATTGATAATGATAACGTTGTTACTCTGCCCTTAATAATATGATTTGTAAACAAGATTTTGAATAAGAAAAAATACTTGGTCAGTAACAAAGGCATTCAATAAGAATCACTCCAAGTAGAAACACATTTTACTGAACTAATATTTGAGTAAGAATTGATTAAATACGTCCATTATCCACATCTAAATTTTGCTTTTTTTTAAACGTAGTGATTTTATGACTGAGCTACTCGTTTGCAATACAAATTTAAAACATGTACTAGAAAACATGCATATTGCGCATTGCATGGATGGGAAGTTGTTCAAAAACAGTTGTTATCTATCAGAGATCTGCGTCATAGCAAGACTTGCATTAGAACAATGGAGAGACTTGGCGCTTACAATTCATTATAACTGTTCTGTTTAGAGAAAATAGCTCCTCTAGAGCTCCGACTCTCTCCCTCAGTCTCTCTCGCTCCTAAGTATTGCATTCAACAACTGGTAAACAACAAGCAAAGACATATTTTTTGTAAACCACTAATTAAAGGAGCTTAACACAGATTTTTAGTAGTAAAAACTTCTAACACCAGAATTATATCAAAGAATTTTTGTTTCACACAACATCATAAAGAACCACCTTGGTTTTTTTTCACATACCAATACCTTAACAATGCAAAATAAAGTGTACAACAATCTGACTCATACTTTCTCCCCTTATCTTGTCATCAACTTTTATAAGGTAAGGTGGGAGCAACTATGATATTTTATAGGGAAAATCACAAAATGTACAATAACTTGCACTATTTTGTTTAGAATTACAAGGACCATAAAATACTGTTTTAATCGAAGCGGAAATTTGTTCAAAAATTCAATTTATTTTATTTTATTTCTTTATAGGGATAGTAACAAAAGTTACAATAATTTTTGAACCATAATTTTTACATAAATGGGTATACCATTTTGTTCAGAATTTTAAGGGCTATAACCATTAACTTACTAACGTTTTATCAATATTGTTCAGGTTTTTTTTAATTGATTTTTCCTTTTTTTGTGTTTTTACGGGAAAATGGCCATTAAAAATCTAAAATTTAAAAAAAAGGGAAAAGAACACCTTTAGATACCGTTTGTTAGTTTTTTACATACCATATTTTACCAAGATCGGACCCGAGGGTGTGGTCTCTAGCTCTGTACACAGCCACACATACAGACAGATACACACAGGCATCACTTCGAGTTCGAGAACAACTTTTTTGGGTCCAGGGGGACCCAAATCGGATATATCCACTCAAAACATCAACTCGAAAATGTTTACGAAAACAATACTTTCTCGATATGGCCTATACAGTAGGGGGAGAAAGTAAAACATCTGATTAAAGAAGCTATATCCTCATTCTTTTGCCTATCTTGAGCGCCTTATTTTTGGTTGATAATTATTTGTATGTGTAGCTTCAGTAAAAACAGCACTATTCAAATATATTGTATATTTATATGTATACACTGTATAATGGAATTTAATATTTGGACGTAATTTGATAACACGTCGGTTATTTATTTACGATTAATTTGAACTGCAAATTGAACAAAATAACACACGGGTGCTGAAATCGACACATTGTAAACACTCTGTCGGGCCGACTCCGCTATAGATAGCTGCACGAGATTAGAACCAGAACCAACAGTTGAACAGTTCAACAGTTCAGATCACCTAGCTAGTGGTGATGTGGGTTTATCACGAATACAAGAAAAATACCGGTATGGATCATAAACATAAACAGATGACGTTGTTGGCCCGAATTCCATACTAATATCATTGAACATATGTTTTGGCAGCTCTATCTAAGAAATGTTAATGTTTACTTTCGGGCCAAAAACGTCATTTGTTTATGTGGTGTTTATGTTTTCTCTATTTCATAGTCGACTTTTGCATTTCAAGGTAGACATCTCAACTGTAGGAATCAGCTGTTTAGTTCAAATATATGTATTGTTTAATGACCCGCTCAAACTGTTCTCTGTTTTGACATACTGTAGCGAAAACGGCTGTTGAGGGGGTAAAACAGAACTTTTCATCCCTTGAAATATCAGCTGGAGTGTATCAGCTGTACATCTTTCTCATTTCTACATCCACTGACTTTCAAGAATAATATTATAGTTCCAAATTATAGTGGAAGGAAAATACATAGGTGTGCTATTATTCCCGTCATATGCTGACGTCACCCAGATTGCAAACAAAGAATCAGCTGATTGTATTGCCATATAAGTATATATTTGTTTTGATTCGATTGTTATTGTTTTTTTTAATTTGTATAAATGGTAAAAATATGGTGTTTGCAATCTGAGTGACGTCAGCATATGACGGGAATAGCACACCTGTGTATTTTCCTTCCACCATGGTTCCAAATAATAATAGTCTACTATCGTCATCAAAATTTATTTGTATTTATTATCGTGTCAAATTAAAAATTTAACAAATAAATAGCCTATTTAATGTCAATTGTACCGATTTAAATGTAAATGTATATCATTAATTTTAATTCAAATTTATAATTTAGTTGGTGGAGTAATACCAGTTGCGTAAAACTTTTTTAACGACTAGAATATGGGTAAAATGGTCGAACTTAATGGTAACAGCTGTTTGTTTATGAAGCAAGACAAGATTGAAGTCAATTTGGAGCTAACTTCTAAAGATTGAATGCAAAATATTCGTGTTGTGAATGAGTCAACTTAAAGAATGGTGCAGTATGACGAAAGATGTAGTTCATCGCTCGGGCCAAAAGTGTCTTTCCTTCTCACACTTATTTTTTAGCATCTGCTTCGCCACGGTCTTCAAACTTGAGTTCGTGTCGAAAAGTCACTTTAGGTCCAAGTGATGAATGTTGTATAGCTTTATATAATATTTTTATTTGTTAACAAATTTGTTCGTAGTTCAGCTTGGTTAAACATTCCATGCATATTATCTAACACAGCTAATTTGACATGGTAATCTCAACTCTCATCCATAGGTGAAGTTTTCATTTCATTAAACAAAATAGTTCATGTTGCACACACCAAGGCTTTTTCACCCAAGCTATTTTCAAGACAAGCTCCGACATGTGAATAAAAGGTTATCATGTGTCGTGTTGTGATTTATAATATTAAATTAAATTACAGAGTTTGCAATAGGCTGAAAACTGAGCGTAGTGAATTAGTTTCTTTACAGGGATTTATTTTACTTGTGTTTTCCCTATTTCCCCCTTCATTTTTTCTCATAAATATATATATGTCTTTTCGTCTTTATTTCATTCCACTATACACAAATTGTTCCCGTAGCACACAAACCAATATTCTGCTCTTTATTTCCACCCTAATAAATAATGGTTTTGGCATTCTTGAAAAGGACAAAGTCAAAATGAATTAATTTTCTTTGCGAAATGAAATTCTCTGACTGGCTGTGTTGGGAAACTATCATCCAATCCATTCATTACCTACAGTTTCTATATTTTTGATTAGTTATTGCTACGTTTAGTTTAACGTATCTAGAACTTTAAACACAACCTATTAAAAACCCAGAAATATCACACAAGTGAGAGAAAACTATTCGTAAATACATTCTGATTCCAAGAAAACACAAACACTATATCAAATGCATAGTGTTGACAGAAAGTAGATTGCACTGTTTTGGATTAGCCATCCAAACGGAACTTCTTAAGACGAGTAATTTTCAATTTTTGATTGTTTTGCCAACATTGGTCATATAGGTTGCCATATTGGACACGATAATGCAAACAACAGTATAGCTGCTTAAAAAAACAAAAGTCAACTCAAAAGAACATTTGGTTACGCGCCATTAGACTTGTTTTAGAGTTTACTGATGATTTCCCTTATGAAAGATCGGTCCACAGTTAAACTTAAAGGGTGTTTACCTTAGGAATATGGGAGTGCACTGAACATATGTATTTTACCTAACCTTCAGGCATTGACTGTATTAATAGTCAAAGGTTCAGGGTTACTTCCGTATTGCTAAGGGTATGACTGGGTCTAGAGGTCAGTGTAATGCAGGGTTAACCTACAACCGATAAAGTGAAAAAAAACAACAAAAAACGCCCGATTATGTCTAAGAGTCGAGAGTCCCGTCAACAGATGGTCACAAGAGAAGTACCTGCTTAATGTAATCCCACCAGATTCAATGTCGCAAGGGAAGTGGACAAAAATACAAAAACATGGTGATATTTTAATATACAGTGATTAATTAGGCCTGCGTTTAATTTTTTACTGGAGTTTCGTTTCACAATTCGTGTACTGAGACATTGACATCCCTCGTTACCAAATGTTGGACTCGCCCGCTGGTCCAATCAGAGTATTTGGCATTTGGCAGCCGTTTGTTCAATTATACATTTAGACGCAGGTCCGCTCAATTTATGTCTCACTTCGTGGTTTCAGACTCGTTAGAAAGCTTTTAGATCCTAGACGTTAGCTATACTAATTCCGCCAATTAATTTACGATAGTAACGGGGTTTTCCTGCCTACAAAATCGGTTGTTTAAACTCAAAATGTTTATTATTCGCGAAAATAGTACATCACTGTTTACTGTGGTAGATGAGTATGTGGTTTTAGTGCTTAGCAACAATGTGAAGATTGTTGGTTCAATCTTAAAAAGTCAATACCTTTTTGAAGGTTATATCCTGTGAAAAGTCAATAGCTTTTTAAAGGTTATATCCTGTGAAAAGTCAATAGCTTTTTGAAGATTCAAAACTGGACCAAGCTGTTCTTGATCAAAGACCTTCTAAGACTTCCTGGATGTAAAATCACAGATTTTAGTCAGTAACAAAGCTATGGGAGGCTCATCATTAATCCGCACACCTCTTATCCCATCTACATTATTTACAATGATACCCTGAGTAGAAGATAAAAGAAGTATTGACTTAGTCTTGCAGTAGTGGTTTGACACAGACAAAAGGGGAAGTGTGGTGCAACAAATAAGTTTTTATTAAATAATCTCTTCTGCACTCTGTGACTCGTTGGTTTTTACCCTGAGTGAGATCTCTTTTGCACTCTGTGATTTGTTCTGCCTTTGATGGTGCAGTTACACTTGCTTGGATTTACTATCTAAATAAGATATCTTCTGTTCTCTGTGACTCGTTGGTTTTTACTCTGAGGGAAATCTCTTTTGCACTCTGTGACTCGTTGGTTTTTACCCTGAGTGAGATCTCTTTTGCACTCTGTGATTCGTTCTGCCTTTGATGATGCAGTTATACTTGCGTTGGATTTACTATCTGAGTGAGATATCTTCATCTGTGCTCTGTGAATCGTTGGTTTTACTCTGAGTGAGATCTATTTTGCACTCTGTGATCTGTTCTGCCTTTGATGATGCTGTTACACTTCCGTTGGATTTACTACCTTAGTAAGATCTCTTGTTGTGCTCTGTGACTTGGTTTTTACTCTGAGTGAGATCTTTTCTGTGCTCTGTGACTCGTTTGTGTCTCTGCTGCTGCTCTGTTTGTGAATGATTGTGGAGTCTGGTTTTCTTCTCTCTGGGTTTGAGTAAAGCTTCTTGTATTTGATTGTTTTACTAACTAAACTTTTAAAACTTTCTATGTATTGTAAATATGTCTTCATCTGAAACTACATATCTTACATTTACATTATTTTAAAGCTATTGTGTGTGCAATAACACTAATAACAGTTTAGTTGTGATAATAATGGAGTGACTAGGAGGGGATATTAATGCCCTAGCAAGGAAATAATTTATAGTAAATCCGGGTATGATACAGAGAATCTACCAAGCGCTTAAAAAATATAGCTGCCAAATTAACGCTTGACTCCTCTCTATAAAAAAATATTGACTAGTGGCCAACACCCAGAGGCTTTTATAGGTATCAAAGATAATAGTAGTTTTCAAGCCAGGAAATGAGCAAGAAGTTGCGTAAAAGTTATGCGCCCCAAGGCCCTACCAAGTGTGTTCCTATTAGCTGCTGAATTAATTAATTTTTTGGACTTGAAGACATCTCTAACCCCAAATCAAATCTTTCCTGGCTGAAAATTCTGTCTGCAACAGTGCAATGTTCTATATTGTTGTGTATGGTAATTGGTAAATTGGTGATAAATGTTTGTGGTAATTGAAAGAGTGGACTGTTTCTTGTTCCTCTTCAGGCAAGCCTGTTATCTTTAGAAAACAATGTAAAATTAAATATCAAGAGATTTTTACCGTCACATAAAACCAGTTTTTAAATTTTGGTTACTGGGAAAACTATATCATAAGATGCTCAGATTATACAAAAGAGTAAGAAAACTACTTGCATTATCCAAAGGTAATGGTGTGACTACACATAAACTTCCTCAGGCAAATCTTCAAACTTGTTGTTCATAAAGATAAAATTTGGTTGTCATATTTAGCTGCCAAAGGCAGGAAGTCTGTCTCTTGTTTCCTCTATTTATAGACAGCTAATTCACAGAACCATCATAACGAATTGTCTCTTCTAAGACTGTTTTAATAGAAGAATTTGTACATTTTCAACTGAATTATTATTTATTATATTAATTAGATTTTTTGCAACTATGCCTAAAATAGTATCTAGTACAAGCTCGCAAGGAACCTTTTAGTTTCAAAATTAAATTCGAAAAGCATTCCACGTCTGTTGATAACTTTGAAGCCAGTTGATTTGGCAGTGAAACGTTGTTTACTTCAATCGCATACAATACATTATTTGAGAAAAATATTAAATTGCCAATATTGATTCTGCATAGTCAGGGGCGCATATTCATCTATTTGTGTGTCATTTATAAACTATCTTTTCCTGTAAATGTGTTCCATTTGCATTGTTTATTTTAAATACGATCAACTATTTTTATTCTGGGTGCTTTTATGTTTTAAGGTTTTCTACTTTCTACACACCTACTTCTGTAGTTCTCAGCGAATAAGACTGGACTTGGGGCACCGTTATAAAGTATTTGATAATGTTTCCTTTTTGGCTCTCTGAAAAGGAAACTCTTGATGAGTAAAATGTTTGAGCCGTCATTGGGTATAAGTTACTATCTTTGTTCATTAGTAATGGTGTCAGTTTATGTTATCTAAAAGAATATTGCAGACATTTTCATCACAATGAAAAAAAAACTAAGTGTTCGGTGTTGTGTTGAGTTGAATTTACAGGATCTGGAATCTGATCCTGTCCTCTGGTGAAAAAAATATTTAAACAATAGAAGAAACCAGGTTTAACCATGTATAGTTTTTATGATTCTCGCCCACGACACACTTTTCTGGAATGAGCTTTCAATTGATGAGCATATTTGTTTTGACAAACAAAAATACCATTCTTTGTAACCTTCTCAGATCAATTCCCAACAAAGACATAGGAAAGTATTGAAGAAGATGGTGTGTAATTAAAAGAACTAGAGGTCGCCCAGTGGTCGAAAACTCAACCAAAAATATCAATGTACAGACTATTTTTCACCCCATGCTGTCAATAAAACGTCATATGATTGGAATTTCTTCCATTTGTTTTGATTTTCTGTTTATATTTTGTTGTAATTTCATCCATAGAAACCACCTATGTTATTTTATTTTTTTATTTTTTATTAATTTTTGTGCTTATTTTTGAGCTTATTTTAATTAATAAAGGGATTCTGCACAAGGAAAATATCTTTCTAAGAATTTGCGTAGATTTTCCCTACGATGTACTGAGGAAAAAGGTTTTAACAAAACATCCTTGCCTATTAAAAATTGATTTTCAGAGGGATTTTATTTTGTGCGTTTTACAATAGGTTATATTTGCAGGTTTTTGTATTTAGATGGAATATTTTACAAATAAGTGACACAACTATAGACGGAACATAGTAAACGTCAATGTCCATTCTACAGTTATTGGACACAATCAAGCCTTAAAACTTATCTATGTTTTATTTACTATTTTAAAATAGCCCTAAATGTTATCCAAAAAATAATACCATAGGGGACAAACAGTAGTTAAAATATGATTCAGTTTTGCCCATATGATACAATAACAATCAGGAAACAATGTAATAAAATGTATCAAAGCACGGTTGCTGGACACTGTAATTGAAATTTTCTTCGGCTGATCCATCAAGATGATAAACATATGTGGGAGTATGTGCAAAGTTATGGCAAAAGCTAGTTGAGTCACACCATTGAGTGATTCATGAATAACTTCTATCCACTGACTTAAAATGATTTTATTGGTTATCCAATTGAATTTTGTTCAAACATATTTGATGGAAACATTCATCCTTTTTTGTTTACTTCAATTGCAAAATGTTGAGCTCTTGGGCATGAAAAGAACAAAAATTTCTCAAATGGCTTTTAATCTAGGAAAGGTCTGAATATTCAATATCTCAACTCAATTTTGGGCTACTTAAATGTTCCTAGACTCATCTGATCTTAGTCCGTTTCAAATCTAAATCATTTATTTTAGTTTCAACGCCAGTGGTGCCACACTTAAGTGGTATCTAGCACTAGTGCTAGTGTCTAGGGCAAAGTCCAACACCCTTCACCTTCATGTACTACAATGCTCACGGTGGAGGAAGGCCCTGTGCAACAGGAATTACCGCCCACATTGTCTTATCCGATTTAAAAAAATTTCTCAAAACCAAATCTAAGGGAAGGGAAAGATTTTTATACAATAGCACACTATATGAGTGGCTTTACTATGAATAAAAAAATTGCTTCAGTCTACTTGAGTATCCAAAAACAACAATGCAATAGTTGCTTTAGGACTTACTTTTTCCAGTTCAAACTCCCTGATGCGATGGATGCTGCCGCCTATTGCTTTCTTGCTGCTAGTCATGATCCCTGAGCTACCTATCACATTATCACTGCACCATCACTCACAGACACACACACTGGTTGACTGACTAGTGGCTCGTGGCTCGGGATACCCAGACTGTTGTGGCTATTTTCATCTTGGCAGTTCACTTAGCCACCACCTCTCTCTCTCTCTCTCTCTCTCTTTCTCTCTCGCACACACACACAAGAACACACTTACAATAGCACATACAAGGATTAATTGTCTTAAGGGTATTCTCTTTGTTTGTGTATTCACATTTGTTTCTCTCGAATAGTTCAATATAAGAGGAACCCCAATACAAATTTTTAACATTATGTAAATATTTTCAGAATGCTTTTTAATCAGAACAATCAACATAAAAATGTGAGTGTTTTATTGTACTATGTATTAAAATTAAAATTTTTGTCATAAGAGAGGAACCCCTTAACCCTTCCCGGACAGCCTATAATATGTATACTGACAGCAAAATAAATTTTTAAAAATATCTTTTTTACACCTGTAATTTATAGAATGTTGTAAATAGTTGACCTATGCAGCACTTTTGTCCCAAATATTTTTTATATCTTTTTGTTTACTTTTTTTTATTCTTCTAGAAAAACATTCCTAGTACATCAATTAAAAATATAATTGAATAAAAGAACGTTTTTACAAAGATTAATGTTGTTGTTGTTGTTATATATAATCAACTATAACAATTAATAGATGTAATAATCGGTGGATACATCTGCCTACCGTCCGCAATGCACAAAATGCTAACGGATGTATCCACCTATGTCCGGCAAGGGTTAAAACAAAAATATATTCAAAAAACACTTCAACGACATTGACCTAATATTACAAAGAAAATAGGATGTGTTTTGTTGGTATCAGCTTTTACTGGGGTAACTTAAGTCAATCAATAAAAAAACAACCCTCTATTTAGGTAAACTATAAGAGTCCCATTAAGCTTATTTTCCAAGCTGGTGTACTGTTTTGGTTGTATTTGTTGTTAAACAAGCAAGTTTTGTTATAACATACTTTTCAAACTAACTTAAAAGTAAAATTAAAATCTAATATTATATCCATATTCCATTCACATTTAAAACGCATCAAACGTTTATTTTCTTCATTGCAGCATTGAAGGAGTTACAGAATTTTATTTTAGAGCTCCTAATGATGAGAGGTCAACTGCAGGCTAAGTAAGAAAAAACAGTTAAGGGAAGTGAAGCGTGCGGTTGGGGCCAAGACGGATCTTTTCCCTACACTTAAAACCTCTCGCTGAGGTACCGAGGCTCTCCCGGTTGGTCTGCCTCCTGTACTGTTATCCATGCGGATGAACATAGCAGCATCTCAAAAGGAAGACACAAGAGCAAAGCTTTTAACGCTATAAATAAACCGAAAGCAATATTTGAAAATGAAAAATGTAGATCATGGAGACTTAATTAAACTTAAAAACGCCCAGGCAGCTAAGAAGGTTTTAAATACCACCAGATTCTACCTGACAACAAATTCACAAGGGAAATCAAAATGAAAACAATTACAAATATTTTTGTTTATTAAGTTCTTCAGCTGAAAATGTTCCCTAAAGTAAAATGACATAAGTATTTACAACTTACGAGGTAATAGCTTTAAATGTTTAAAACATTGTTCAATACATACTAATTACTCAATAAAACCACAAAGCAACAATACAATTGGATGAGAAAATAAATAAAACTGTACACAATATATTGGTCTTGTACACTACAGCATTAGAATTTCAACAGACTACAAATGACTAGTTTTAATTATTATTATGAATAATTAATGTAAAGGAATAGAATTGTTCTGTGAAAATTTGTGTTTACACCTTTCTTGCGTCTTCTAAACTTGATGCAGATTAAGTTTTGTGGAAAACAGACTGTGAAACTTTGTAATAATACTAAGATTTTCTGTTTCACTCCGACTTGATTGGTTTGTATCCGGCGTAAATCCAGCGCCGCTCCATATTGGCGCCGATCCCGGACAATTCCTGTTGGAACATGCTGGGAAACCTGGACATCAACGTCTCAACTTCGCTCGTCTTCAGGTTCGGATCGAGCTTTTGTAGATACGACCATATGTAATCCACGCCTGCGCCGAACGGATGTACGTGCAGGAAAATTGAGATCAGACCTGGGAAACAACGAACACAATCTTGATTACACATGGAAGAAACAGCTATACACATTACTACTCACTTGACAATTAAGTTGCTTTGACTACGGATTAGGAGTGTACAAATAGTGATTTTGGATTTTGAGGTTAAAAACTAATCAAATAGAATACAAAAAATGTCTATGTGAATATTTAGGTTCCACCAAAATAATGTCAAATCACAAACTCGAAATTGTACTAAGGTTGATTCTGTATTCAACCTTTGACTACAGTTAGAACTAGACATTTCATCCCCATTTTAAAGTTACAGTTTTAGTAGGCTATCATACTAAACGTCAGAGTGCACGGATGTAAATTACTGTTCTATGTTGAAATAGTCAAAGTAGGCCTAATGGGGCAACTTATTAAGCTATAACATCTTTTAACTATAGCCCATTCACAAAATTTAAGCGGGTGGAGGGGAAGTTCCCTCACCACTTTTTTCTGCTTAATGAATGTTGCAGCTGATTGGTGTTTTGACAAATCTTAGATTTTGAGCTATGTTTTTAATGGTAGATTCAATATGTGGAGGGGATAGATTTCTTCCCCTAAAACCGCCTAAATCGCAGTATAAGGTTGAAAATCAAATTTTATGTAGTAGCACACACTGCGAGCAGCACAAATAGTTTTTAAATTAACAACAAAAATATTGTAATAACTAAAACAACTTACCGATCAGTTTAGCCTCTTTCTCGGACAGCTTTGAAGTCAGTAGAAGAATAGAGTCGGTTGTGTCGACTTCAGCTGTTTCAGTCTCGTCTTTCAAAGCGTCATCTCCTTCCTTGCTTTCTTTCTCCTTCGCCGCCTTAACAGCTTTCAGTCGCTCTTTCAGCTCCAACACTTTGAGTTCTTCTTCTCCTTGTTTTCTCTTTGCATCCAACAATTGCTGAAAAGGTTTAATATTAATATGAGGGAAAGGTAAAAATAAATTCAAATAATTACATAAAACTGTACTGTTTGCTGTTAAAACGGTGGCAGGTTTCAGCAGAAGACGATGCGTGTGAAATGATGGCCCTATCGCCATGTACCATCTGATGATAGCAACACTTTTGTGAAGTAATTATTTGCTGAGTCCAGTTTGTGGGTAAAAAAGGCATTTTCACAACTTTTTAATGTAAAAAAAATAATTTTATAACTTGGGATTGATTACCTGTTGTATTTATGAAAAGGAAAAGCTGCATTTGCTTAAATTATCATATTATATATATTTCATTTGTATTTTTATGTTAGAAAGATCTGTTTTACACGCTTCTTGTTTTATTTTTATTCCTCAATTTTCAAGGATTCATACGATGTTTTCCTCAACCAATGTCTAATAAACCTTTATTTGACTTTTAACAACAGTTATTTAATCTAAGATTCGTTATGTTAATCGTTAATGGAGATAATGGTTTTTAGAAGGAAAAAGTATATTAAAGAAGTAGGAAATAATACAAGATAAGAGTTCTAGGTGGATTATCGCACACAAAAATTCATAATACATTCCACTTGATATTTTTCCTACAGTTACCTGACAAAGTGGGCTTCCTTGCACTGATTATAGCACACCTGCATTTACCTACTTTTGCCCCACTAATTTTTTTGCCATGGAAAGTTTTTAGTGGAAAGACTACTTATTTATATGCTTATCCATATGAAACTGTAGGAAACATATAATGTGTAACACAAGCGCAAAGGGCCTTTGCTGCATTTGAGGTACTTTCCATACTTGCCTATGGCTTGTGCGTAAACATTTCTCTCATGTGCAGCAAAGTGCCACTTCGCACACTAGGTAGTTACACAAATAACTATTTCCTCTCTAAGAGTGCTTGGCGTGGTGAATATAAAGTTTAATGTGTTCCTTCTTCCCTAAAGGATGAAAGGAATCGCTTACCTGCTGCATGCCTTGAAGTGTTTGCTGACACATTTTCAGCTGTTTGTCTTTCTGATCTAGTTCTGTCTTCAAATCTACTTTGACCAGATCTACTTCATTCTTGTAAGCTTCCAACTGACACCGCAAACTGTCGTTTTCTTCCTGCATCAAGAATAAAAGGTTCTAGTTTTACACTTAAAAACATGGTATACAGGGTGATCAACTCAAGGAGGCCACCATTGGGATTTTGGAAACGGTAAGAATTAAAGAAAACTTTAAATGGGGGACATTCCTATATTTTTTGTGGCAGTTAAAAATATGAGTTTATTTATTCGTTATTCAGCCGCCATTTTCCAAAATGGCGGCCAACTAATTAATAGTTATAATTAATTAGTGGAGACAAAGTTTCCAATTAAATATTTAGATTCTCCCATGTTAATATATATTAACGTGTTATATATATTATGGGAGAAAACCCAACTTTGATGGAAGATCCTGCCCAAACTAATAAATATTTAAAAAAATGAAAAACACTTTGCAAAACTACAGATCAGGACCATTTTTTTGACACTTTACTCATTAAAATCAGTCTAGAAATGAGGGAGGAGTTCTGTTTTAAAAAATGGGCTTAGCGTATTATATATATAGATGTTGAACCGGGGCAAAGCACCTTAAGTCAGGTACCCTGGTACTCTACACTTTTCCTTACTGTGAATTAAATGAGCACTCCAAAAGTTTAATCTTTAACAAAAATTGGCATGTTTATATTTACAAGGTTAAGGGAAACAAAATACAAATTGACACAACTAAGTCACCGAATGATCCATGAAGTTTAAAGGATGACTACCTTAAGTGCAGAGGTAGGGTCGTCTTTCTTGTGCTTCTTTCTCGGGGCGCCCATGTAACCAAACTGTTCCTCGTCAGTATCGGACACTTCCATCTCCTCATCTCCCCCAGCGAGCAGATTATCTTCCAACTCCACAGTTTTTATTTCCTACAACACCCGTGCAAATGTTAGGGATCCATTTTGCTTCTTGGGTTGGTGACTAAGACTGAAAACATACCTTGGGCT